TTAATTTTACATTACATTATTTTATTTAATGTAGTGATACATACTAATCTCTAATATTAATTAGATAAATAAAATTTTTAATTGGAATGTTAAAAAATTAATATTTTTATTTAAAAATTATTAAAATTAACATTTTTAAATAAAAAAAAATAAACAAAATAAACATCCTTTCCTCATTTTATAATTGACCCCAAACTTTCCTGAATTCTTCCCTGCTGAATCGATGCTTCAGAAAAACCCCAAACCCAGTTTCTTGAATTTGAAGAAGATTTAAGAGAGACTTGCCGGCGATTTAGGGTTGAAAAATGGGGAAAAGGAAGAAGTCTAGGGTTTCACAGGAAGAAGATGAAGAGGTAGAAGAAGACTGCGAAGAACAACAGCAGCATCAGGAGGATAACAGTCAGCCTTCCTCCAGCGGGAAGAGCTTATACGAGGTATGCCGAATTTTGATATTTAGTTTTTGGATGAAGATTCGGAAATTAGGGTTTCTGGCGAAGAAATTTCGAATTGGTATAGTTTTTTTGGATAAAGATGCTGTCTTTTGGAATAATGTAGGTAGTTTTATGTCTCGGCTTTTGAATCAGATGAAGAATGTTAAATAACAATCAAGTGTTTGTAGGTCCTTGGTGTGGAACAAACAGCGTCCAAGCAAGAGATTAAGAAAGCTTATTACAAGTTGGCATTGAGACTGCACCCAGATAAAAATCCGGATGATGAGGTAAAGTTTCCAGTTATTTATTTTGATTTTGATGTTAGACTCCATTTTCTGCATATCTATTGCTTCTGGAAGATGACTAATTGTAACATGCTGAATTACTTTTCACAGGAAGCTAAAGAGAAGTTTCAGCAACTGCAAAAGGTCATATCCATTCTTGGTGATGATGAGAAGCGAGCACTTTATGATCAAACTGGATGTGTTGATGATGCGGTGAGTGCTTAACAAACCGTTTTAAGTTTTCAGCTTTTTGTATTTGTTGCTGCATCAATGGAGAAAATGTTCCATTTTTGTTTTGCTGTTTGCTGGGTATAAAATGCATCTCCTTTAATTTATGTTACTTAACTAGTTTTTAATTGCAAGAACTAGCAGTGAGCATGTGAATTACTTGTCAAATTAATTGTGGTTATTTTTTGTTTGAAAAGTTGACTCTTGTCAACATTGAGATACTTGATTTAATGGTTGCAAGATAAAAAAAAAGTGGATTCATTTTAGTTGCTACATGGGTCCTTACTTTTTCCTTGACATTGCATTTTGTATCTTATTGCTACCTATATTCTTTATCAGGACCTTGCAGGGGATGCTGTTCAAAATTTGCAAGATTTCTTAAGAACCATGTATAAGAAGGTTATATTTCTGGAATACAAACAGACTTACATTAGCAGATTTTAATGCCATCAATTTTTTGTTTTTTTGGTTTGTTTGTATGGACTAAATATATGAATTCATTTTGAAGGTTACTGTGGCTGATATTGAAGAATTTGAAGCAAATTATAGGGGTTCTGATTCTGAGAAGAAAGATTTGATTGATCTTTATAAGAAGTGCAAGGGAAAAATGAACAGGTAAGAAAGCATTTCTTTTCTTTTCCTTTCTTTAGGCTTGCTTGCTTGATGTTCTAATGCTTTTATTTTTTTAACTTAACAGGCTCTTCTGTTCAATGCTTTGTTCGGATCCTAAGCTTGATTCCCACCGTTTCAAGGATATTATTGATGAGGCAATCAGTGCTGGTGAGGCTTTTATCTACCTTCTGATTAGATTAGTTTGAACTCTGGAGTGGACTTCACTCCAGAGTTAAGGTTTTTGTAGTTAGTGGATACAAACTCAACTATGTTCATTCTTGCTTCAGGGAATTTTTTATTCCAACTTGGTTAAGAATTTTGTTTCCATTGTTAACCATGATGGAAATCTTGAATCTGGGTCTCACTATTAAAATTCAAAAGATGGATGACCAAAAGCCGATCACACAATTTTTGGATCTTGAATGATGTGTCCTCTTAACCTGATTGTTTGATGCCTTCCTGTCCTGTGTCTATAATTCATTTTGCTTATGAATCTGCTTTACAAACAAGCAATAATAAATGGTTTGATGTGAGTTTAGATCTGTGTTGCTGCTTAAGAATGGAGAATGATCTAAATGTTTAATTCTATTTCAGCTGTTTGATTTTACATTAAGAAATTATATTGAGGGAGAGTGACTTTCTGATACTGACTCTGCTGTCTTTCCTGCATAGGGGAAGTCAAGGAAACTAAAGATTACAAGAAATGGGCAAAAAAAATATCCAAAATTAAGCCACCTACAAGTCCCCCGAGGAGAAAGGGGAAGTGCGTGCTTAACTTCTGAGCCTTTTTGTTTAAGCTGTTTTCTTTTTCAATTCACTTTTGATGGACTTAAATCTGTTCAGAATTTGCAGGTCAAATAAACAGGCGGAGCCAGATCTTTTTGCAATCATATCTCAGCGCCGAAGTGAGAGGAAAGACCAGTTTGATTCAATGTTCTCCTCACTGGTGTCAAAGTACGGTGGCAATGCAGACGCTGAGCCTAGTGAAGAAGAATTTGCAACTGCACAGAAGAAACTTGAAAACCGCAGGCCCTCCAAAAAATCGAAGAGGAACTAAATCACACATCATCCTTATTTATTCTAGGACAATTTTGTCTGTACAAATATTTAGAATATGCTCCCGCTTTGCTGATTGATCTTTCCTGTTGTTTTAACTTAAATTATGTCTGATTCCTCTTCTTCTTGATGAAACAGTTTAGATGCAATAGTAATATGCCATCAACTTGCATCAGTGATGTCGTTACAACAATTATTGTTTTGGTGGTACATAATGAAAGCATAGTTTTTTCTTGGTAAAGTAATGATGCATGGTTATTTTCTGGTGAGATAATGATACATGGTTGAACAAAAGACAGGATTTTAATATCAATGATACATGATGATGCATAGAAATCAATGATTAGTTGCTATTTCTAAGTAGTTATGAGGAATCCATATCTCATCCTGCTACCTACCGGAAGCCAGCCAGGAAGGATACCTGTCATGTTTTTCACCTACAGCAACAGCTGTGAGCAGATAATTGAACTTTTGATAAAGACAAAGTTCTACCATGGCATGGCGTGGGCACCGAGGAAAGTTACTATCTTAACAGGGAAAAAGGCTTCATTGGAAGTAGAAACGACCATTGTCTTTTTCAGGCTTCTCTGGAGTAAGCTAGCAGTATTCTCTGGCACCCTTCTGCAGCGGCTGAAGTGCTGGCTCCAAATCTCCAGATTTTGCATTTAGCCATCTACTCTTGAAACTTGGAATCTGGGATCCATCTGTTTTCTTTTAATGTCTTCAACTTACCCATTGCGTGTTAGCCCCACCAAGGAAACGGTAATTTATCATCCCATAAACTATTTACTTACACCAATTATTTACTTATATACGTCAAAATTTTATTGTCTACTTATATAACTTAGGATAAAGATATGAGATTATTTTTTTATATAATTTTCACATAAATATATACTTATAATAACACAAATTTTTGTAGAATGTAAAATAAAAAAATTAATTATTAAATAATATATAAATTATATAAAAAAAATTATTTCCCAATCATTTTCTTACAACTTATGTTGGCTGATTATTTTCTGATGAAAAAAAAAAAAAAGTGAAAACTTAATCGGGTAAACAAGATTGATGGCTTTTAGTGGGTTTGTCCACAGCATTATTTTATATTTGTGAAAGGACTTAAGATGATGATTACACCCAATTGAAGGTGCATAATGGATATGTTAAAGATGCATATAATGGCATTTTTTCGTCTTAAAAGGGGGTTAAAGACCCATCCAGCAAACACCTAAAACCCACCTAAACAGTGGTGGCCCAGAACACAAAACAAAACCCAATTTTTTTTTTTTTATTCAAACCAGACTTCAAAACATTCTGGAAACTTCAACCCACTGGCCACTGCCTTAGAAGTCCAAAGATAAGGATTTTTTCCTTTGATTTTTTCTTTTCAAGAATTTTAATTCAAAGAAGTTGACATTACAACTACATCCTGTGAAAACATTCCCATGGTGTTTTTCCGGTGTGGGTATGAGTTGGATGATCTTCATGAATCTGCAAATGCAAGCAAAGCTTTTGCCTTTTGCTTTGCTCTTCCCTACCTGTCACCATAATCTATGAAATTGATTATCTCTCTCTCTCTTTCTAATATTTTCTTTGTCAAAGATAATCAAATCAAAAACCCATCTTTTCCCATTAAGTATTATTCATAGGTTGTCCTATTGCTTCACTTGACTTTGTCCTTCTACCTCTTTCAGCTTCTTCATTGGGTAGGTAACCAATTCCTTACAAATTCCATAATTTAGTACTGCTATTGCTTTTACTTGATATATCCCTCTCTCTCTCTTGTATTCTACTGAAAATCCATCATTATGTAGTGTAGCTTTACTCAACTTGTTTTCTCTTCCCTATTATAAGATCATAGATTTGGAGCTTCATATTCAATACCCTTCAAAGTTGTCCCCTTTTTGAAGAAATTTCCCCTGTAATTACTTCTCTCTACGTCCTGGTCTTGCCCTTTTCTTGAATCTTTCTGCCTTTTGTTTTCCCCTTTCTTGGGTCTTTAAAACCCTGTTTGAGACTTTATGGGGGAATCAGGAATCAGATTTTCTGCCTGCTAACCTTCATTTAACTTAGGTTTCTCAAATGGGTTGTGGGTTCTGCTGATTTCTAACAGCTTAGATATTTTTCTCTTTGGGTTTTGAAGGTTCCAATGGAGACCGACAATGGCGATTCCAAGTCCAAGATGGACGACTATGAAGTGATGGAGCAGATTGGGAGAGGAGCTTTTGGTTCTGCTTTTCTTGTTCTTCACAAAAGCGAGAAAAAGAAGTAAGATTTTCATTTTTTTTTTGCTGTTTTTGCTCCTTTGTTAATTTTTTTTTTCTCAACCCATGTAAACCTTTATCTTCAAAAACCATTATAAATTACAAAATGCTCGGCTGAAAACTTCAAGGCAAAAATAAAGGTTCAAGATATTGAATTTGTGTGTATTGAAATGTCTAGAAAGGGAAGTGTGAGATGAATTTTTGTTGTGCTGGTTTATACTCCAAAAGTTCTATCCAAATGTATCACTAAATTTGTGGCTTGGGCTTCCTCACGGTAGGTGTCGGCAGACGGCAGGCTCGTCGTCTTTTTGCAATTATTGACCTTAGCATCCAGTAATTTGTCATTTCGTATATTTTCTAATTCTGTTAGGTATGTGTTGAAGAAGATTCGTTTGGCCAAGCAAACTGAGAAGTTCAAACGTACAGCTCACCAAGAGGTCACTTTCTCTAAAATTCTGATCACCTACATTTAACTTTTTGTTTTTTTGATAAAAGTTTTCTCCTCGATGGAATCCGGGTTTATTGGTTTAATATTCTGCATACCAATTATCTTCATAAGCAGTGTGACCTTTAACATTAAGAATTTTGATGAATGGTGCTTAATTATTCCACTATGGAATTTGGGTTTTAATACTTTCATATGATCATCTTCATGGCAGATGCCTTCTCCTGTCACATCAGTCGTCCTGGTAATGGAGTTAATACATTCAAAATTTTATTTCCAGTATCATTGTCTGTCCTTAGTTTCTATAAAATCATTCTTTTCTAATTTGTTTGCTGCATGGATTATGGTCTTAACTATATTCTTTTAATTAAACTTCATGTATTGTTGCTCACATTACGTACATGATTAAATTTTCTTTTTCTTATGTGATGAATCCCACAGGTTTCACATTTGTATCTACCAAATGGATTTTGCATCAGAATTCAACTAGTTTGATTTTTCTAAAATTTTATGTATTTCTTTTTATCTGCATTTTGATTTAACATGTTTTGCGTATGTGATAAATATATTTAGATTGGGGACATCTCAATATGAGTTACAGAATCATGAAAACAATGCTGAAGGAAATAACTTCATATGTTCTCTCTGCATGTGTGTTTGTGTGTGTATGTGGTCTTCTTTCCCCTTTTTATATTTTGTTTGGGGATGGTTTGATGTGAGCATTAAATATATATTGATTAGCATATTTCTTTCTCACTTTCCAATAAGTTATCTAGGAAGATTACTTAATGGACAACCACCCAGTTAAAAGCCTAGGAAATTCTCTTATATTTGAAAGCATGCCTCTCTGCATATGCTTTTGAACTTTACACAACATTGCTTCATTTTTTTGTTGCAGATGGACTTGATTGCAAAATTAAATCACCCATACATTGTGGAATACAAAGATTCTTGGGTGGAAAAGGTGAAAGTGTGTTTATGTTTATTATTATTATTATTATTATTATTATTATTATCATTTCCAGATTTAGATTGAAATAGACAGAATTGCTGTAGAGTTGAAGTAGTGTACCATTCTTAAGAGATGAGGCCATAACTGAATTTTGTAATTTGTGTTCATGCTTGACAGGGAAACTGTATTTGCATTGTGACTGCCTACTGTGAAGGAGGAGACATGTAAGCTGTGTTCATGAAAGTACTTTTGGCATTTCTTAATTAAGTTTTGGTGGAATGTTAAGATGCTTTAGTTTGTTATACATAACCTGGGGATGAGTTTTGGTCAAAGATAGCATTTCTATATTTTTCTTATTATGTGAGTGGCAAAAACTCCTTTAACTGTTGGATGGTGCAAAAATACACAATTTCTACTCTGCATATTCTTATCTTCTAAGTTTTATTGTAAAGTCTTCTTTGCGAAAACATTTGAAAAATGAAAATAATATATTTGCAATAAAAGATAAACAGAGTTACTTATCAATATCATTAATCAACCATAGTTTTTGTAATATTAAAATGAAATAAAATAGTGTATTGGACTGATGACTGAGTTGGGGAATTTAAAATTTTGATTGAAAACAGGACAGAGATTATTAAGAAGGCCAGAGGAACAATCTTTTCTGAGGAGGTACATAGCGAGATACTAATGCATTTTAACTTCTTGTGTCTTCCTACTTGAGTTAGCTTTTGCGCACATACATTAATATGCTTGTTTGCTCCTCAGAAAATCTGCAAATGGATGGTTCAGGTGTTACTAGCTGTGGACTACCTGCATTCCAACCGTGTTATTCATAGGGATCTTAAGGTATTGTCCTCTTCATCCATCCACTTGCTGACTATAAGTTATGAATGACTATATCATTTATCAACCCTTTTTTATTTCGTTTCCAGTGTTCCAATATATTTCTCACAAAGGACGGTGACATTCGGCTTGGTATGAAGGCAAAAGAATTACAGTCAAAAGACTTTTCTTCGGTATCAAGTTTGACTTCCGTATGTTGATGTGTTTTGTTTGGACCATACAGGTGACTTTGGACTTGCAAAACTACTCAACACAGAAGAGCTTGCGTCGTCGGTATGAACTTGTGGACTGTTACCCTTTTTCTTTTATGAAATCTTCTAAGGGATATTTTCCTTTGGACAATTTTAAGTTTTTGAATTTCAGCTGTCTTGAACACTTTATGTTATCTAAGTTATCTAAGTCTGACTCTGATACATTTAAAAGTTTTAAGTGCTTTTGGCCAGATAGCCTTGAGAGTCTAAATTGAAACTTTGTAACTTATTTTCCTCACACATGACCCTCTTTCTTTCCTAAGCCCTTCATATCCTTTTGCAGGTTGTTGGCACTCCCAATTACATGTGTCCTGAGCTACTGGCCGATATACCTTACGGGTATAAATCTGATATATGGTCACTTGGTAAGAGATCCAAAGCATTTATTCTGCACTACCATATCATCTGCATACTTCAACTAGAACTTACAGCTACTTCAATTTCAGGTTGCTGTATGTTTGAGATTGCTGCTCATCAGCCAGCTTTCAAAGCTCCTGTAAGTTTTAATTTGAGCAATGTGTCTGGTGCATCAATGTCTCCTTTGTACCACCTCTCCAGTTTACCTCTCTAAAGACTTTTTTGGTGCACTAAAGTCATTGAGAACTCAACAGGATATGGCTGGACTCATTAACAAGATCAATAGATCCATTTTCTCTCCCTTACCAATTATCTATTCACCCTCACTGTAAGTCAATAGATTCTCCTAGCACATCATCTATTTCTTGATGACAATCTAATGCGTATGAGATTTGTGTAGGATGTGTTTCTCTGAATAAGTTGTCACATATTTGTACCATCTGATGTATACACTAATTGAAATCAATTGACTTCCATATCCAGAAAACAAATCATCAAGAGTATGCTAAGGAAGAACCCAGAACACAGACCAACTGTAAGTTTGAGTGACACCATATTTATCTCACTAATTTTCACCAATATTATTCATACTGATATCTGCACATTTCAGGCTGCGGAACTATTAAGGCATCCACATTTGCAACCATTTCTCCTTCGGTGTCAAAATGCGTCTTCTGTTTATCTTCCGGTATATCCCACAAACAGCCCAAAGAAGAAAACACCAAAAAAATCACCTAGAAAACCTAGCAGTGGGACAGAAGGAAGAGATAAGGAGGCTGGAATATCAAATCAGTTGGAAAATCTACATCCATTTCAGATAAATGCTGATGAACAACCAAGCAGTTCTTCAAACAGTGAGAACCCAGCATCCACAACTAGCACAGAAGACAACCTTGTAACTAAGAGGGTTGATCCTACTAGCTTTGCTGTTGATATGTCTAACTCTGTCAATGATTCCAAAGACATGTCAACTGATTCAGAACTAAGTGTTAGCAATGGAGACAAACAGGTTCCCTTTAATGGTGTTCCTCAAAAGGACAACACTGACATGGAATTAACCTCAGATAGCGCATTCAATTCTCAACATGAAGATGAACAAGAGCCGACTACTGAACTTTCTCAGAACTTGCATGAGGTTGATATCAAGCCTGTGACCAGTAAAGATGAAGAGATGATCTGTAATCTGCAGGTTGTTGAAGAAGCTGGAAAAGAGGGAGATGCTGTTAGAGCTGGGGAGTGCAAAGAAGTTGTAACATCCAGTGTTGACTGTAATGATAAAAATGGGTTCCCTGATGACAGAAGTTCATCATCTGCTGTATGTGAAAATGATGTGGAACCTAAATGCTGTTCAGAGAAAATGGGTGATCCTGAAGTGAAAACAGAAGTTGCCAACACAGGTGACTTGTCGACTGAAACTAATGATATACTTCCATCCAAAAATGAAGTAGGTACAACGTCAGAAAATAACATCTGCTCCTTGCTGACTGAAAAAGATGATGCCCGCACAATTAACCTGTCACCCAGTGATGTATCCTTACTGAGTTCGCTTACAGGCCTAGGCCATGATGAAGTTAGGAGTGTTTGGGAGAATCCCAGTCAGCAAAGAGCTGATGCTCTGGAGTCACTGCTTGAGTTATGTGCTAGGCTACTTAAGCACGACAAACTTGATGAGCTTGCTGGTGTTCTAAGACCATTTGGAGAAGAAGTTGTCTCATCTAGAGAAACTGCAATTTGGTTGACTAAAACGCTCATGTCTGTGCAAAAATCCAACGGAGAAGGGACATAATTTTCAAGAGGTGACTTGCATTAATTTATTGATTGTTTGTGAGAAATTGTATTTTTTTTACATGTCTTGACATAAAAGGTGTTTATTCTAGAGTGGTGTAATTGCTTGAAGATATGAAACTGAAGAGAAAAACTTGTTCTGCATATTGTTATTGACTTTTGTATTGGCCTTGATGAAAAATAAGAACATTTTTAGTTAGCAGGAGTCAATTGCATGCAATTGCTTAAGAAAGTTGCATCCGTAATGGGATGGTTTATCCAATACCCGACCTACCCTTTAACCTTTTCCACAAGGTTATTACTTTTTATGTCCATTCTTTTTGACAAAAAACATCTGTTTGTTCCAAATGAATGACATTTGACAACCAATGAAATTTGGAGTTACATATTCAGATAAAGGACAACGCAGGAGAGCTTCATGTTCATGATGAACAGGAGAGCTGCCTTGGAGAAGGAAAAAAGTAGTGTTTTTGTTTTTGTTGGTGTGATTTCCCTTTTTAGGTCTTGTTTATTGCAGGCCTGAGGAAGAATGAAGATGGTGAGAGGTGTTTTACGGGGAAATTGTTGATACAAAAAATTCTGACTGTTGAATCATGTTATAGGTTCAGATTTGATCTGATTTAACGTGTTAATTGGAAAATTAGATCAAAATCCACAAGACACTCGGTGAAGTTAGATGGTGACATATGCCTTATTAAAATATAATAAAATTAAGATATGTGGTCAAGTAAAGTAATGATATGTGTCTTAGTTAAATTAAAAATATATTCACAATATGTGACCGGTGGTTGATTAAAATATATTGAGAATATGACTTTTAAAATGCCTCATTCATTTGCCCTTAAAAGATATTCCCCACTAAAAACTAGGGATGAAATGTCTTTTTTAAGGGAGAAGCTGAAGCGCCCTACTGTAATTGCATTTTAAATTTTTGTGGAAAACTTCAAACTTTCTAGTTCTTTCTATTTTTTTTTTTTAATTTTTATTGAGAACAAGCTCCATTCAAGCCCTTGTTGAAATTTCCGTCAATTTGGAGATCAAATCAGGGGGTTGCTTCTTATTTTCTATTTACTAGAAGATTGGAAGCGCATATATCATATTAATACAATGATTAAAACTCCATTTTAGTCCCTCTACTTAAATAAAAAATCTTTTTTTAGTCTCACTACTTAAAAAAACCTTTCTTTAGTCTCTAAAGTTTATTATCTGATTCATTTTTAGTCATTTTGTTATCTTTTAGCAAAAATGACACATTAGATAATGGAAATTCCAAAGTAGAAGGACCAAAAAGCAACTTTTTTTTTTTAAGTAGATGGATAAAAAATGAGCTTTTTTTAAAAGTAGAAGGACCAAAAAGCAACTTTTTTTTTTCAAGTAGAGGGAAAAAGGGGGCTCTTTTTAGTCTCTTTTTAATCTCTCTACTTTGGAATTATCGTCACATAATATGGCACATGTGCAAAAAATAATGAAGGGACTAAAAAGGGGTTAGATAATAAACTTTAGGAACTAAATGTTATTTTTGATTTTGATGATTTGAAAACCAAATGTGAATTGAAATTTATACTTAACTTATTCTTAGTGATATTGAATTCATTTTCATAAATTCTCAAATATTGGGTTTGAATGTCTTTCCTTTTTATTTTGGAAGTTTATTTAATTGTGTAATTACCTACTTAATATATTTTCTTTTGTAGAGAATTGCAAAAACAGAAACTATGTTTTAGGTTGAGGTTCCAACCCCTAAGGATAGGGTTCCAAACCCCTTGATAATTTTGTTTTGGGTGGACTTGCAAGGAATTCTTTAGATTCCAACCCCCAAATCTCAGGGTGTGGAACTAGGAAAGCTACTGTCCAGTGAAGAAAACAACAAAGGTTCTAACCCTTGGAGGCAAGTTCCAACCCCTTATGCTGAGTCATTGAATCACTTGTCATATTTGGAATATATTCATTCCAAAAGAGCTTCAATGGTGATGAAACATTGATTGAGCAATAACAAAATATAAAATGAGATCTAGAAGAATGAAGAATATATGGAAGTAGAGTATTTAATTGGGAAACCAAAAACAAATTGAGCTTTCACCTTGTTCTTTGAGGAATCACTTATTGTTCTTGTTTCTTTTCATTGTAACAAGTGACATAAAGATTGGGGAAACCCTGTTAGATTTAACAATCCATTCTTGAGGTACAGAAAGGGTTGAGAGATTTGTAACAAGGGGATTGAACAATTGATAGCACCAATAAACTATTGTAAACGATTTCACTAGTACCTATTGAAGCTAGTGTTATTGGAATGAATCTCGAGCGTAGGAAATTTGGGGACTAGATATAGGCACCAAAGAGGGTGACAAATCGGGATAAATTGGAACGTTCGATATTTCTAACTCTACTCTTTTAATTTATGTATTTTAGTTTTCAATAACTCACCGATTGCTTGTGCTTGATCATTAAAATTACATAAAGTTTTTGGAAACCCAATTCAATCCCCTTTCGAGTTGCTATCTGGGCCAACACTAAAAAATGATTTTCTTAAGTTAAAAAAAAAAAAAGTAAAAAAAGGACTTTTTATTAAAATAGAGAGACCTAAAATAGCTTTTAACCTAATACAAATATTTATTTGTATGAATGCCAATTCTAGTCCTTCAACTTTAGGATTTTGCACTTTTTTTTGTCCCTCAACTTTTTTATGTAATTTTTTATCCTTCACCAATGAAAAATACACTTTTTTAATCCTTCCATTAATTTATTAAGTCTATTCATATTTGCACATTTTTAGTTTTTTAACTTTAGAATTTTGCACAATTTTCTTCCCTCAACTTAAAAGTTTAGGTTTAAAAATGTGTATATATAAATAAATTTAATAAAATAACTGATAAAATAATTACAAAAGTGTATTTTTCATAGTTAAGACTTAAGAGACTAAAAAGTATATAAAAAAATTGAGAGACAAAATTTATTCAAAAGGTCAAAGTTGAGGGACCAAAATTGGAATTTAACTTTTTTATTGTTGGTTTGATTTTCGAGAATATAATCATTGTTAACAAATTTCTATCGTGCCCATTGGCACGATCAGGTTTGAACTGAAATTCGATTACTGGGAGAAATTTGTAGATGATTATGTTCTAGAAAATCAATCGGATAGAAAAAATGGTATAAATAAATATTTGTATTAATTTATACATATAAATACAATCTCTTAGAATAAACAAAGAATTCAGAAATAATAATTGATTCAATCTTCAACTTGAATGAAGCTTGATCCTGACAAGGGAAAGGTATATGAAATTATGAGCATAAAAGTAAATAAGTTTAACATGGTTGTGGTTATTATCATTCATGGTTTTGTTAATGTCATATATTTTAACTGTAATTTTATCAATGTATAATTTTTTTAAATAGTGTATTATGATATTTTAAAATATTTGTTTATATACTAATTTTAATATGTTGAATAATATATGTAATTAATTGTTTTATAAGTTGTCAACTATTGTTAACAATTAAATTAAGATATAATTTAATAATTTATGTAACCTTAACAAATTTAAGAGTGACCATAATTATAGTCGGTATTTAAGATGTTTGGTTTTGCATGACATTAGAAAATTTTGGTGTAGACTTTTTGTCAAATTGTTAGAAAATAGTTTCAGTTCCCTGAATTTTGCATTTCTATTGAAAAAACTGACTCGTTCTTCCACAAATCAAATTATGAATAATCAAGGAGGAAAAATATCATTGAACTTGCTTAAAACTAAAGAATAAAATTACAAAAAGAAGGTAATGTATTCCCCACAACTCCAACTCCCCAAGCTTAATTTCATTTTGAGTACCTGTGGTTTTTTTTTTTTTTTAATTGCAATTTATCACCTTGTGCTCTGTTTCGCCCCATAGTCCAAACTTCAATCTTGCTAGCTAATTAAATATGGGCATTATAAATTTGACTTGGAATATGAGTGAGACACAATTTTTTTATATAATTTTTTTACAATTTTATACATCATTTAATGATTAATTTTTTTACTTTATTAAGACTCGTAATATTATATACATAATGTTTAATGATTGATCTTTTTTATTTTAATTAATTATGTAAATCATATCATTTAATAATATGTGAAAGTTGTATAAATTATACAAAAAAAAAATATATTCATATATCATTACCCAACCTGACTCAAATACCATGTAAATGGATTGTCTCAATCTATCATCTCCATGTATCAATTTTAATACAAGACCATATAAAAACTCAAACCTATTGATGTTGGATAATACCCCCCCTTCACAATTGGTTTAAGAATTCAAATCATTGCAAGTTTAAATGAATCTCATCAGAGTTATCATCCAGCTTGAATGTGAGGTTGGTGGCCAACTACTTTCGAATGTGAATTAAGGCTCTATAAAGAATCTAGAAAAACAGTTGGGACAATAGAAGAAGTGACAATTTTGCTAACATGAAAGCATTGAAACAGATGAGAAGCCATGGCTGATCTCCACAACTCACCTTTTTCAGGTACATACCTAAACAATTTTCCTTTATCATCATTATCCCAATTAAACCAAAGACATGCCACCTTAATTTAGCTTAATTTGCACCATTTTTTTTTCCCTATACCAAGCTACCTTTTATTTGGTCCCCTAGTCCCCACTACAAGCCGTGTCCTTAAAGGCATGGATTGTCTAATTGGTGTTGTACAAGTTGATTTTCATAAAGAAATGTACTTTAAGTTTCAAGGAACGAGGCGAGCTTTCATTCCACCTATAAATTGCTAGTTTTGAAGACTTCATTCTGTGGCTCTTTGTGTGTTGATTTTGTGCTAGATCAAATGGCAAGATTTCGTGCATTATCTGCAGCTCACATAATTGCCATGGTAATGGTGGTGACCTTATGTTATGCATCTGGGATCGCGGCAAAGGGTTCAGACATCTCTCCTACCCCAGCATTGGAAGCCGGAGCAGGGTTCAGTTTGCCGGTTTTAAGCGCCTTGGTGTTGTCCTCTACGTTGGGATCTCTTGTTGCTCTCTTTTTGTGCATTGAATTTTGATGTTTCGGTATGAGGTTATCTTGTACTACTACTTATGGGTTATGGTGATGATGATGAGGGCATTGGTTATGATATCTCTTTTAATTTGGCATGATTTTTGTATTAGTTCTGGCATAATGAACTGCGTATATTGTTGTATATCATAAATAAAACTATCTTGGAAATTTTTAATTAACTAATTTTAGTTGTGAGATTTTAGATTGGTCTAACCTTTTGACCTAATTTAGTCGGGTTTAAGTGATTTTGAGTCATATTTGATTTTGGGTCAATATTTTAGATGAGATCCAACTCTTAACATTTGAGTTGGGTTGAATCTTGATATTGAGTCTATGATCAAAGATTTGAAACTTAATGGTTTAACGACAAATAAAAATCTTAAATAATTAAGAAATAGGCAAAAGAGTATCAAAAATCATTTTGTTTACAAATAAAATCCAACTTTTTGAAAAAAATCTAGCCATTCATAGTACTTTCGTATTCGTCAACTTACGTTAGCACCTTTAACGGATGTCCATTTACTTAATTTGACCTAAGTGATGGCAACCAAAAGGAGGGTGAATTGGGGTTTTTGAAATTTACATAACTTTTATGTGCAAATCGATGAACAAACCAATGCAATCACAAATGTATAAATTAAAGTGTGTAAATTAAAAGAGAAAGGGAAGAGAAAGTTCAAGCACAAATCCCTCTCTTACTTTCTTGATGAAAGAAAATGAAGAAAACAATGATCATAAGATAATTACAATGAAAAACTTAAGTACAAAGAATGTGAAAACTTATAACTCTTTTTCACTTAAGGATGAATGCAGTTGTTTTCTTCCCTACAACTCTACTTCAACCTCCATTGGCATCAATTTATTTTTCAAGAGTGCTCAATTAAAATTTTTAGCTGTTGCACTAGATCTAGAAATAATCTAGTTCATTTTAAAATGTAAAATCAGCCTTTTAATCTTTATTTTCAAATTTTCTTCATAAGTTTCAAACCCCTTTTTAAAATTTTTAATTGTTAGTCTTGAATGTCCATAAAGGTGTTGAACCTTTTTGTTTGGCGTTGGAATTTTTTTATTGAGTCCTACAAACATAAGAAAAATAGTAAGCTTTAAAGGTTTGGAACCAAAATAATGGTGTTGGAACTTTTTGCTTTAATGTATAAATGTTAAAATTGGTGGCCTCAAAAGTTCCTACATTTAATCCTTAATGTTGGAACCTTTTTTAGACACAAAAGCAATCTCAAAAACACTGATATAAAAATTCTAGATCCTTTCGTTTGGTTTCGCACCTTTTTACACAAAAATGCATTTTAAAAACCTTTTAATAAGGAAACGTTAAACAAAATTAATAAACATATAAACAGGGGTGGATCCACTTGAGACCGGGGCTGTGGCCCCCCCGGGTTTTAAAAAAAATTAATATATATTAATTGATTAATTTTAACTATTAAATTTTAAATATTGTATTTTTAATTGTTAAGATACATAAAATAAAAAAAGATTTTACCCATTAAAATAGTGAGGTATGTTCATAAGCTCAATTGTAATCTAGGTTTCAAATACCCATTAAAAATCAATTAACACTTTAACTTAGAAAAAAAAAAGAAGAAAAACTCAATTTTTTTATACTGCTCGTACAACTGCTGCTATTGACTAGCTCTGTGTCTTTGTTCAACATTCAACTTCAAAAAGAAAAATAGTTCAGGGAATTAAGTAATCAAATTAAGGTACTAAATCAGTGAAATCACAATTGTTCTTTTATCCTTATAGCTTTCTTACCTACTAAAAATAGTCCATTCTCTTTTCAGTTTTTTGAATCAAAGAAAGAAACACTGCAGCCTTGACCCTCTGCTACTGCTATCATTGAAGGGACCAATCACCAGTGGACGGTGGAGTGGAGTACAAAGAGCAAGAGATACTCTCTTTCTCTGAGTCTTTTTCATGAACTAATGGACAGGACCACAAATTATAAGTTGCTTTTATTTTAATTTAAACTTTTGCCTTATACTTATTGTTAGCAAATATGTTCTAATAATAAAAATTAGTAATTTGATATAGCATCTGATTAATGAATGAATCAAAAGATTTAGAAATATTATTATTGATAAATTTCATGACATGAAAATTCATCAAATATTATTTTAATTTATGATGTAAAAGTAAATTTTTAGAATTATAATGTATTATTTTGAAACTGGAAAATTTGACCCCAAACCAAAATTCCTGGCTCTACCCCTGTATCTAAACATGATTACATAATTAAAATGAAATTACTTATTTCCATAACAAAGGAGAGATCTATGATATTAACTTCTTAAAGGTGTAAAGCATGTAAAATCAAAAGTTTGAAATTATAGTCCTTTTACATTTGTAATTAAGTTTTTTCTCTTCAAAGTTATATAACAAGTACAGTTAATTAGATAAAAAATGTAGAACAAATAAATTTATATTTCTATGAAATTTTGAGATATCAAAATTAAGATCAACAACTTACTGTTAAAATCATTGAGAAATTAAAAATCAACTCATTTACCTTCACAATTCTCCTTACATATTTGCAAGATGTGCGAACATATATATATTTTTTGTCTTGGAGCTTATGCGGAGGGCCGTACACCCAATAATATTTTTAATTTTGTTTTCTTGAAATATAAAATTATTTATTAAAAACTTGAGAAAATCTTTCAAAGAGGCTAGAAGCAAAAATATATATAGAAGTTTCGTTAATATGCTTAAATTATTTAGGTATAATATTTTTTTAATACAATTTAAATAAGAGTTTTTTTAAGAATACACTTTTCAACCATTAATTCATATTGAAAAAAAAAATTGATGTTAATTTTAACATTAATGTCATAATTTTTAATTTAATTGGTTAATTATGTAATTCAATGATAATAAATATATTAATTACTTTTTTAACATATATATTTACAATATATTTATATTAAAAAGAATGAAAAAAAAGAGAATTACATTCTTTTAATCCTCCTCGCACCCTTCTTTTTATTTAAATAAATAAAATAAATAAATAAATAAAAACTTTCTTCCTTTCTCCTCGTCTTATTTTTTTTATAATTAAATAAAAAAATTTCTTT